AGATCCTTTTTCCGTCATCTCCCATTTGTGAGTCGAACCTGACCCTTTTTTCACCACCTTCCAGTTCTGGTTTGCCCCCTAGGATAAAAAGGACGAACCCAGTTATTGTTTGGCACATCAGTTTGTGGCACAAACGTTCTCAAATATAGAAACTTGGGTTTCTCTCAAGGCACTTAAACATTGTTTGGCCCCTTAGCATGGTCGAACACCACTTTTGGATTTTTTCCTTGATGGTGCTTTTTCTTCAGCGCCTCAATCTTCTTTGCAGCTTCTTTGTCATAGATCATGTTACAGTTTGGGTATAACATGGATCTAAAATTACTCAGCTTACATTTATTCAAAAAATCTACCAACTCCTCTTCAGGTTTAGGAAACACGACCTTCATCAATTCAGCAACTGTTTCCTTAGACATTTCTTCATCCTTACAATCAATTTTTGCTTTGTCGTCCTGATCACCTTCATGCTTTTCAGCAAAATCAACCATCATCACTTCATGTGGCTTAGACAGATTGTTATTTCCACTTTTGGGACCCTAATTAGCCTCGATTGTTGTAGCCACAACCAGTTCATCTTCAAGATCATCAGTAGCCTTGAGCGTCAATGTTGCTAGTGAGTTGATAGTATCTACATGTTCGTCTAAGAGGCTCTCAGTAGCCTTTATCATCAACACTTCAAATGGATCCACATAGTGTGCATCAGCCACATGTAAGGGATCCGAGTCGATCTTCATAGCATTCTTTGGTTTCTCACCAAGTTTCAATCGACCATCTTTCAAAGCCTTTTAAATTAAATCCCTGAAAAGAAAACACTGAGAAGTATTATGACCCAAAAAATTATGATATTTGCAAAAACCTCTTTTATTTTTTTGCTCTAATGGTGGATCCTTAGTGCCTAGGGGCACTATAATCTGACCATCTGAAACTAAAACATCAAATATTTCATCATATTTTGACACATCAAAATTATATATTTTAGTATTAGTGCTATCATTTTTTGGATCTTCAACCGTCTTTCCCTTAGACGATCTTACAGGTTTACATGCATATAGAGGCCCATCTTTCAATTCGGCCACGTTAACCTCTCCTTCTTTCATGTATTCATCTTCAGACTCTATGGAATAATCCTATGTGTCTACATAGGCAATTTTGCCTTTTCTATGATCCTTTGACACCCTAGCTTTCTCTATTTTTATACGTTCGACATATCAGACCTTATCAGCTAGTTGGGACATATTTGTAATAGATTAAGGATCAAACTTTTTCCTAATAGAATAATCTAATCCCCCGTCGTCCATTTCGACCAGCTCGTGTTCAGGAACCCTAGTAAAGCATCTAGACTTTAGGATCCTAAACCTTCAAATACACTTCCATTGACTCAGACGACCTTCTCTTGATGGAGGATAATTCTTTCAAAATTATCTTAGGCTGACTAGTATAAAATTGCTCATGAAATATACCCTTAAGTTATTCCCAAGTGCGTATGGAGTTTGGAGTCAACATCGTAAACCAATTAAAATCATTCTTTGTCAATGAATTAGGAAAATATATTAATTTTAAGCCCTCATCGTTAGGGATATCACCAACTTCTGTTTCGTACCTAGCAATATGTTCAATGGTAGGCTCATTGGCCTCACCAACAAACTTAGTAAACTCAGGTACCTTACGTCCCCTAGGTAATTCTATCTGTCGAATGTAATCAGGCAAGGGGGAAGAGTAATTGGGCCTCCAGAGACCAACATTTACTCTGGATCGTGTTAATACTTATTCTACCATATTTACTATGTTGTTATGTCCAACAGTGGCATTTCTTAACACTCGATCAACATCTTGGTTTCTCCTAACTACGACCGGCCTAGGTTCATATTGTTCAATGAATTCTTCCTCTTCGTAAGTGGGTGCTTCCACTCTTTGAGGTCTAAAAGGACGCTAATTGGTTCCCCCTCTAGTTCTTCAAAAATCATCAACGACTTGTGGTGCGGTTGAGTTTGAGTTGGTTGGACCCTTAATGAGTCGATCAATCTATCTATTTGGTCAACTACATGATTAAGGGAGACTCCCACTTTTTGAGTTAAAACATTTACTAACTCTAAATTACTCTCATCCACCTGTTTCCTTAAATCCATAATGGATGTAGTATTCAAAGATGGTGTCGACTGCGGGACATAACTAACACCGCCTAGTCAACCACTAGGGGCATAACTGCCTTGGTTTCCAATGGCCACTGTGTTTTCTGTATATGTGGCAGGGTTCGACTGTAGCCCAACCATCATGGAATAAGGCATACCATATTGGTGAGGGACAAATGATAACCCTGGACCCCTTGGAAAGAGTGGTCGATTTGGGTCAAATGGTGATACCCCATGCCTAGGTTCTGTCATTGTGATTGTTTTCACTGAACCATGAACTGCGGCCGATCTTACGGGAGATAAAACTGTCGTGCTTTGAGTTATGGTACTTACTGGTATGATATCCACATTTTGTATAGAAGTCTGCATATGTTCATTGTTTGTGTCAGAGTGTGGTATTTTAGACTTTGACAAAAGTTTACCACTTCTCAAAATCATACACACACTAACTATAAGAAACTTTGTGAAACTACACACAAAATCCAAAAATATTAGCATTGTCCCACCAGTTGTGCCAATTTGTTTACCTATGGATTTGGTAAACAATGTTGCTCTCTTTAAAATAAGTTTACTTGCGAGATCGACCAGGGAATCTCAGTATAGTGCTTCAGTTTGCGTACGTAGTTAAAGTGTTTTCAAATAGTTTCGTTCGACTAAGAGCCAAACGGCTTGATAAAAGACAAAGTAAATAAGACAAAAAGAATTTTAAATTGTAAAAGTAAATTACATAACGTTAAATAAAGGTTGAAAATAGGTTGGTTCAAACATACATTTCCTTTGCCTAACTCATTTTTCTTGTTCGCTTGGTTACTCTGAGTGACTAGCGTACAGAAATGTGAAAGTTTGACTTTTTTACAATGTGCACTGAGTGCTTTATTTATAATACATAGAAATAACTACTTTTTAAGTGGGCTTCATTTCCTTGCAGGCCACGTGTTCTTCATAACTTCCCTCTATTATCCCATGTTCATACTCTTGATATCAAACCCACATTTTCCCTCCATAACGCTTCACCTTTGCAGTTTAGGCGCTTACAGGCCTTTTAACCCTTTTGAGCTTCTTACCTTTCTTGGACCCAATCCATTCACCATGAACCCTTCTCTGATCGACTGCACTTACGAAACCTTGGTCGACTACTTGTGAGATCATCATGGTCGACATATTTATGTAGTCGACTCCTCATAATTTAATGCTCTTTAATGCTCTTAAAAGAACCTTTTTAACTTTTGGTTTGCATTTCTCTCTTTACGAAAATCCTAGCCAACACTCATGAATTTAGTCTCAGTGAATTTGTATAACTGTTGTTGCATGAATGTTATTATTACATAATTGATGTGTAAATTGGTGTTTTGGTTTGTGTGGATGTGTGAATGGTTAAATGCGTGAATATGCATGTAATAATTTGTTATCTACTTATTATGCATTCTTTTATATTATTGTGATATCTCACCCTTTCTATTTGAATGTTGCCTGCAAGTGAGTAATGCGCAGGTAATCCGTAATGAAGGTATGGATGAGTTAGAAGAGAGTGCTCTTCTTTATTACTTTCGTCGATTTTGGTGTTTGCTCTTATATGTAACACTGAGGGTCAAAAGATTGATTTGTTATGCTATGTTATTAGAGATTTTGTGATATCTCTTATGTTGCACTTTTATAATTACTTTATAACATGCATTGTTTTTGAATAAATATTTTAATATTTTGATTGATGTTTTCCGTTACAATAAAATGAAGTTAAACTTGTTGGAGTTTATTACTTGTTGTAATTAATAATTTTAAAAACTGTAAGTGTTAATGTTACTATAATATGAGCAGGTTATTGTTTGATGAATGTGACATCCTAATTGGGTGAAGTTTTAATTTTACTCTGATTTTCATTATAATTATTCGAGGGGAAAATTAGGGTGTTACATAGTGGTATCAGAGCGGGTCGGTCTATTCGACCAAGTTCTTGAGTCGGTGTGGTGTGACAGTTGAATATTGTCAATGTTGTTTCTTAACCATTTTCTATTGTTGGTGTGAAATAGAAATGGCTAGAAGAAACTATGTTATGATAGTTGTTGCTTTGTAAGCTGTAGCTCAGTTTGTGAAAAATCAACCTAATACTGGAGGGAACAATGAGTTATGTCATTTGGGAAAGTTCTAGAGGAAAAATCCACATACTTTCAAGGGAAGGTATGATCTTGATGGAGCGCGGGATTGGCTCAAGGAAATCGAGAGAATATTTCAAGTGATGGATTGTTCAGAGGAGCATAAGGTACGATTTGGTACTCATATGCTGGCTGAGGAAGCTGATGATTGGTGGATCAATACTCGTCAGGTGTTGGTAGCTGCAGGTGAAGTGGTCACCTAGGTTGTGTTTAGTAGAGAATTCCTGAGGAATTATTTTCCTAAAGATGTTCGTGGAAAGAAGAAGATTGAGTTTTCGGAGTTGAAGCAGGGTAATTTGTCTATTACTGAGTATGCTGCCAGATTTGTATAAATTGCTAAGTTCTATCCTCATTACAACGAGGAAACTATTGAGTTCTCAAGATGTATCAAGTTTTATAATGGTTTGCATCCTGAGATTAAGTAGGCGATTGGATACCAATAGGTTCGGAGATTTCTAGAGTTGGTGAATAGTTGTAGAATCTTCGAGGAAGATAATAAGACGAAGTCGGCTCACTATAAGAGTCCGAGCGAGAAGATATGGAAACAACATAAAAATTGTGTGAAGCCTTATAATGCTCCAACTAAGAAAGGTAAACAAAAATTTGTTGATGGTAAGAGGCCAAGTGGTTTTTGTCCCCTTCTCTTGTACCAGCTATAGAAACTTATGCTTATGCTTTTGCTCCTGAGGTAGATCAACTTGTGGGTGTTGTAGCCACTTTAACCATGGAGGAGTCATATCCTCCTATAGTTTCAACAAAGAGGGCGTATGATAAAGACCAACAATCCCCCCAGGATGAGGGTTCTCCAAAACAAACTTATGTCACTGAGGGTGGTGCTTCTAGGGAGGAAACTCCCTTCATACGAATGTCAAATGTCTTATCTTCCCAGCTTGCTTTCACTCTTGAGGAGGTTGTTGGTGTTGTTACGAAGTTATAGGTATTTTTCTTTCATAACCTTTTTGAAGGAGAGAAAATGGAACTCTTTTCTGGCCTTACTCACAGTATGTTCAAGGCTACTTCTATACTTTCCCTTGTCTCTGTTGGTTGAGAGACATATTGGCTCCAAGTAATCCCACTAAATAAAGGGATATTTTGAAAGGGAAATGTGAGTCCATGTAACTGAGATGCTCTAATCTTTATGGGGAGATTGTTGTGTTTCATAGAGAGGTTAAAGGTGCCAACTGTTTGTAAAAGGAGACAAAAACCCATGGTTCTCCTTGTACTCTGGCTGCTCGTGTAACTAAACCGAAGAATGTCGTCAAGGAGGCAAATAAACGTTATTTGAATGTTTCTAATGTTAATGAAGATAAGACTCTTTAGGTGGAGTAGATTCGAAAATTCCTTCTTCAAGAGACCGATTCTAATGTTAAAACTTTTTAAGTTCTCTAAGACGAGGTTGCCTTTCCGATGTGGGTGCTCAGTGATTCCTTTTAGTAGACTATGCAGGTTATGCTTGTTAGAACATAGTTTGGTTCTACATCTTAGTAATAGTTTTGATGATAAAAAATACATGATATATATAAAGAACAAATATGCTCTCTAATAATGTATTTAAATATGCAGAGAAGTTCTGATAAAAGAGCATAAAAGATGATGAGAGAATTGCGTTTTAAAGCTCTGATTAGATGAAGCGTACAAACTTATAAGCAAATCCGTGTTACACGCTCAAATAAGAGAAGTTCTATTGTTATAACTTCTGAAGCACCAACGCTGCAAGCAAAATTCTGATATTCTGATAAGTGAAGTTCTGGAAGAGCAAAATAAAGTCACAACGAACTCATCTATACTAAAGTTCTAAAGACTCAGCACTTAAGCTCAAGCTACACTCTGATAAGTAAATATTCTGAAAGTGCAAAGAAGCTTCAACGTATCTGTCTCATCCAAGTTCTAATCATATGAATATCAAGAAACTCTGAGGATCCAAAGTCTCAACAATAATATTCTCATTCTGATCAGATTCCAAAGAAGCAAGTTTTGATGCATTACAATTCATTCATTACAAATCAAAGAGTAACGACTGGAACAAGACAATATATATATTTTTGGAAAGTGCTATAACAACAATTTATCAACCTTCCAAATATAGTTTCTTATGTCTCCAACGGTTCAATTCACTTCTTCTATATAAAGAGACTATGAGGATAAATCAGGAAGCATGCACATACAATAAAAAAAGGACTTACATGCGCATATCAAGATATCATCACTCACACATAACAACCAGAGCGATCAAGGAAAATTCTCTATTTTATCATTGTGATTTAATCTTGTGTAAACATCACATATGTGATATAGCTTTTTAGAAGCATTTGTTAAACACTTTATTTTTGTTAGAAAAGTTGTAATTCCTTTAGAAACCAAGTTGTGGTTTGATCTCAAGAAGACATTGACAATTGTCTTCGTGAATTATAATTATGTTTTGATTAGTGGATTAAGACCTCAATTGAGAGAGGCGAAATCACCTTGGTGGGTGGACTGGAGTAGTTTGAGTTTAAACGAACCAGGATAACCAAACATGTCATACTATTTTATTTTTAAAAACCTCAATTCAAACACCACTTTCTTGTGTTTTTCTATCCTTTAATTGGTATCAGAGCGTCTCGTTCTGGGTGCTAACACTTAACCGTGTCAGAAAAAGATCCTAGCAAGAAAAACACTATGGTGAGACCAATTCAGATCATCAACAATGATAACTATGATGAGAATTACAAAATCAGCGGCAAACCTCCAATATTTGATGGTGAGAACTTCAATTACTGGAAAGATAAAATCGAAAGTCTCTTTCTAGCTCATGACGTTGATCTCTGGGATATGGTAACTAATGGTTGCATTCATCCAGTTGAAGAAAGCAGTCAGAAGATCGATAGAAAGAAAATGACACATTAGCAAAAGAAAGATTTCAGAAAATATCACAAGGCTAGAACAACCCTCTTGAGTGTTATCTCGTACACCGAATATGAGAAAATCATGAACAGAGAATCAACTAAGAACATGCTTGACTCTTTGAGAATGACTCATGAAGGCAACACGTAAGTCAAAGAGACCAAATCCCTTGCACTCATTAAGAAGTATGAGGCCTTCAAAATGGAAGAAGATGGAACAGTTGAGACAATGTTCTTAAGGTTTCAAATTTTAGTTGTTGGGCTAAAAGATTTGGACAAAGGGTACTCAAAAACAGATCATGTAAATAAAATCATCAGAAGCTTACCTAAGAAATGGAGACCCATGGTCACAACCTTAAAACTAGCCAAAGATCTGAACAAAATATCTCTTGAAGAACTTATCTTCTCTTTGAGAAGTCATGAGATAGAACTAGAAAAAGATGAGCCCCATAAGGAAGGTAAGTCTCTTTCTCTTAAATCTAATTAAAAAAATATGAAACTAAAGATTTTTAGGCAAAAGAAGAAAACTTTAGTGGATCCTCGTCAGAAGAAGATGAAATATCTCTTCTCTCCAAAAGAGTCTATCAACTATGGAAGCACAAACAGAGGGAATTCAGAAACCCAAGAAGAACCGGTAATCACTATGAATCTTCCTCCGGATACAAAAAGTCTAGCAACAAAGATATCGTCTGCTACAAATACAAAGAGCCAGGTCACTACAAATGCGATTTCCACAAACTTCAGAAAGAAAAGCCTAATAAGAAGTTCTTCAAAGAAAAGAAGAAAAGTCTTATGGCAATGTGGGATGACTCAGAATCTTCTAAAGTAGAATCAGCATCAGAAGATGAACGTGCCAATATCGGTTTAATGGCCAACATATCTGATGACACTAGTTCATCTGAATCTGAATCAAACTCAAAAGCAAAAGATGTATTTTCTAACTTTTATAGATCTCAATTAGAAGCTAATATGTTTGAAATTCTTAAAAGATATCACCAACTTCGAGTAAAAAACGAGAACCTGAAACACGATCTAGTATCTGACTCTGAAGAAACTAGGAAACTAAAAGCAGAAAATTCTGAGCTAAAATAAACCATTTCTAAACTTAAAAATGAAAATTTTGTTATTATAAACGAGTTACAAAAATCTCAGAAAGAATATATCTCAGAAGTTTCAACCAGTTCTGATAACATCATAAAAGAATATGATCACAACTTTCAAAAATTTCCAGCTAGAAACATAGATAGAAGAAAAATGGCCTCTATGATCTATGGAGTTAGCAGAAACGACATAAAAGGTATATGTTATATGAAACCAAAAGGGAAAGAACCATATCAACCAAAACAAGTTCATAACATGGCCATAAAATACTCACTTCTAAATTCACATTTCACATATGGGCACACATATGGTATAAAATACACTAGTGAATCTCATTTTGTGAACTCTTATAAACCAAAATTCAATCAAAATTCTGGAAAGTCTAACAAACAAGGACCCAAAAATATATGGGTACATGTAATACGGTGGGAGAATTGACTTGGGTATTTTGCGTTTTGTCGCAATTGTTGCGGATAGCAAGAGTCGCCACCGACTTTTCTTTTATCTAATAAAGGAAATGGTGAAAAGAATAGGAAACACCTTTGAGATATTTTCTTGAGTTTGGTGGGTAGGTTATAAAAAGGGAAGGTGTTAGCACCCTTTTCATCCGTAGTTATCTATGGGCTCTTAGTTGCTTGCTAGATCACTTTTGAAATTGCTTTGTTTGAAATGTGTTTGTGATTGGTGTAAGTTTGAAAATATTTCGAAAACGCCTTTATTACGAAAAACTTTGTAATGATTCTCGTCTCTATAAGAATGTATACAAAGTGTTGGTTTTGAAAATAGTTCAAAGAGATGTTTGTTTTTGAAAGATGTTTTGAAAGTGTAAGTGTGGAGATGGTTTTAGTTTGTGATCAAGCAACTACGAGCATCCTACCTACTCAAAAGGTCTTTTCTCTTTTCCTCATCCTTTAGATGTTTCTATCTTACCATTGATTGGTAAGAAGCCCTATCATTGAATGTGAAGGGACAGGCCCCGGTCAATCATATAATCATAGAAGGCAACTTGTGAGACGCTTTAGCAATTTTCATAAGGGACTAGATCATTTACTGAAGGCAACATCGAGGGACATCGAGGGACTACAATCTTTTTTTATCGATGGGTCTTTGCTAAAGCGTCCCACATTCGAGGGACATGACTGTTTTTCCGAGGCAACAAACGAGATTACCCTAGAGGTGCGCGTGTGAAAAGTGTGTTTGATTCAAGTTAATTTGTCTTTGATTAGGGTTATCTAGCGATTGATTTTAATCTTGCCATACACGCCTAATTACTATACAGTATAAAGGAGAACAGTAAATTGTGGAAATTAAAATTCTACGCTATTACAGAGCTTTCGGGAATGGGGGTACAAATTTACAAATGAGGATGGATCGGATTGGCAATGCGATTAAAAGTATAAAATAGGCAATCAATACAACCAAATCGAATCGAACAATTAATTAAAACTATAACAATCTATGAAGTAAAAAATTAATTAACAAAGTATGGAAATAAAAATTTTGGTATTTTTTGTTTGTGAGAATTTGGAAAGAAAATAAAGAATCTATTCTATTATTTTTATTTGAATTTTATTATGTATAAACTAAATATCTCAAAATAAAGTTTATTAAACTATATAAAAAATGTTGACAAAATTATTTACAGAGTCCTAAACTAATTAAGAAAATAACTTAATTTTGAAATTATATATTTTTATTTAGTTAAATTTAAAAACTAATACTAAAAATTAATAAAATTAAATCTAAACTAAGATTATTAAAATAATTTTAAATTAACCTAGAATTCTAAGTAATTAAATTAAACCTAAACTAAGCTAATACTAAATTAAATATAACCTAAATTAATTATAATATCATCTAAACTATACAAACTAAATCAAAAGAAAAATTATGAAACTGAAAAATGAAATGGGGGTATGAAAACAAACTGAGCTTGGGGTAAGGTCCAATTGTT